TTATAAGTTATATATATATATATATATATTATCATATCATATTCATCCATCGCCCTAAATATACATACATATATACATGGAAAACTTTTAGTTTTCTCAGTACCAATATTCTTAATCAATATATATATATAATATTAACAGTTAATCTAGTTTTCTAGATGTATGTATCCTTCATTTAGAGGACTGAAAGGGAGGGAGGTGTCAGGTGCATGTACTGAGATGTCAAAGCCATGCGTGTATGAACTTAAAAAATTGCTGTCAATCATCACGTTGTTCAAAGTTGTACCAGAAATTGATTAAAAAAAATTAAAGGAAGATAATCCGTGATTATAGGCCAAATTCCTTTATTCGCTGCATGCACAAAATTTTGGCCAAACTCTTAGAAAGCAGGATGAGACAAGTATTGCCCTGTTGATATCAGATACTCAATCTACTTTTATGAATAATATTTAGCAACAATTACGGCGCTATGTGGTATATGGTGGTACGTTGATACTACATTATTGCAATGATATTATTTCCATTTGAATATAGTGTCTCTCTACATTTTGTTTAAATGAATCAGTGAATAGAAGAGAGAAAAGAATAAATCAATAATAGAAAGAAGAATATGTTGTTAAAATGTATAGAGGGTGGATAAAACTTCAATTATGACATGGAGAAAGGAGGATCAATCATCACAAGGGCTAAAGATGTATGAACAAAAGTAGAGACCAAAAGAGTTACATTTATGTGGATTCGAAAGCAGAAAAAGTGGAGTGTGACGTCGACATACAATTGTTTTCATAGATTTGACATCGAGTTGGGGCTCCACAGTTAGGTGGGAGATAATGCCAATGGAAGAAGTGAGAAGGGGAGGAGAGTTAGCAAAGGTAGGGCATGGTAAAAGGATGAGTGAAAGAGGTTAGATACAATGAAAAAGAAGAACTTCATGTTAGGAAATTCAATCTTAGTGATAAGAGATGGTGAGAAAGATCTATCATAAATTTAAAATCAAATATCATTTAAGACTCAACTTGTCTAAACTTTATCATTTTTTTTTTCCTTATAGGTATTCTCCTTTATATGAAATAAGATCAAGCATCATGTAGAAGAAAATAAACAGATTTTTTTTCTTAAACAAATTTTTTTTTAAATCACTACAAAATGACTTGTATCTATAATTTTATTTTTCTTATAAACCAATTATAACTATGGGTTAAATCAAAAACTAATTTTACTTATAAATATTTAATATAAGTAAAGTTTAAATATTTATACTTATATTTGTTTGGTATTGTAAAACGGATATAGATTATTTGTGAGTTAATGTAAAATAATCATTTATTCGCAATTTTTTTTTTTTTTTTACATTTAGTAGCAAACTTTACTTATCGGTACAAGTTAATTTTCTCGTGTAAATAGATTTGAAAATTAAAAAAAAAATAAGAAAATGAAACAAATTAGTGTGTTAGACATCTTGATTGTATAAAGCGTTGTGTTTTGTATAATTAATTACGCATCTTATTCTCTAAATAAATTTTTGGCCTATTAAACAAAACAAGCTACACCAAAGCTGTATATAGGTTATAATTATTATCCTTATTTCATATATTGTGCCGTTATATTATAAAGTATTACATATTAAAATTCGATCTTTTTTAAAGAAAAATTCAATTCGATGAAATTAAATCTTAATAGTGGGGAACAATAATTTAAAATATTTTTAAATGAGCATGCCCGTGACTTTGGTGTTTACAGTCATAACCAGTGTGAATAAGTTTGGCCCGATCTTCATTTTGGTCAAAGCAAGTATTACGTCAACAGTTTAACCGTGAAATCATTGATCGAACCTGCTGAAATATGTATAAAGACTTTAAATAGTTTGTTGGTCGATAAAAAAAAGTTGGTGTTTTTTCATTTTAGTCTTTATTTATTTATTATTCATTTTCTTTAGAATTGTAGAAATCGTATGCTTATAGTTTTTATTTTGGAGGTTTTAAGAGACAAAAAAATATTATTTTTATTAAATATAAGAATTAAAAATGAATAAAATTTAAATAGGGACTTAAACATACATAGGAAATTAAATTACATCAGTATATTTATATTTTTACAAATTATTATATCATTTAATAACTTTAAATTAAATGATTTTTTTTTTAATCTTTGTTAGTTGAAATTTTTTTTAGATTATGTATATAAAGAAGGGATCTGTTTACTCACAAAGTAAATCTTATTATGTTCAATAACTCATATTCTATATTAGATTTCAACGATCCAACCTTTAAATTTAAAGTTCTTAATGCATAGATCAAGTATGCAAATTTAAAAAAAATGAAAATTATTTGATACTTAATTTCAATAATTTAAATTGACGGATAATCATTAAATTATTTTATATATTTATTTGAATTAATGAAATGAAGTATCAAATAATTTTTAAATTTTATTTTAAAATTTACAAATTTGATCTATGTATTAAGAATTCATGTTCTACATTAAATTTCAATGATCCAATCGTTGAATTTAAAGTTCTTAATCCATAGATCAAGTATGCAAATTTTTAAAAAAATTAGAAATCATTTGATACTTCATTTCATTAATTCAAATTGACGGATAATCATATAATTATTTTATGCATTTATTTGAATTAATGAAATAAAGTATCAAATGATTTCTAATTTTTTTAAAAATTTGCATACTTGATCTATGGATTAAGAACTTTAAATTCAACGATTGGATCATTGAAATTTAATGTAAAACATGAGTTATTGAACGGAGTAAGTCTAGTCGTAAACTTACTCTTGGAGTAAACGAACCTTTCTTCTTATATATAAAATTTTAAATTAATTTAAAATAATTTGATACCTTGTTGATATATAGATTAAAGTTAATATAATATTTACTTTTTAAAATATGTTAAAATAATAATAAATTTTATTTTTTTTAATTAATGTTTAATATTAATAAAATTTGATATGAACTAACATTCAATATAACATAAAGTTATGCTTCCACGACTGAATAACAGAATCACTTATTATTATATATAAAATATTGATTATTGAGAGTATAAAAATGTGTAAAAATTATCCCAATGAAATTCGGCTCCCCCAACACACTCGCATGGTGACTAATAGAATTTTTTTATTACATGCGACTTTTCCTGCGAATTTTTCATAAAAATTCGCAGGAAACAACGTTCCTGCAAATTTTTCTGCGAAATTTTATCTGTAGATAATACTTTCGTGGATAATATATTTTTGCAAATTTTAAAATTCGCAGGAAATTTTCCTGCGGATTTTTTTGCTAAAAAAAATTCGCAGTAAAGTTTCTTGCAAAAAAAATTTGCAGGAAAGTTTTCTACAAAAAAAATTTCGCAAGAATATTTTTACGAAAAAAATTAAAAAATTACTATAAATTCTTTCAATAATTTCTCAACTTTCAAATGCTCATAATGAATTCATCCGAAACATTTGTTTCCATGCCTCCAACATGTGATACATAATCTTTTAAATTCTAAGATTGTAGTTTATAAACTTAATACTCAACCATATAAATCAACTTGTAAGGTAAGTGTTACCCCAACTTATATACTCTTTAATTGCTTTATTTTCAATCGATGTGGGACTTGAAATTTTTTTAAAATATTAAACTTATAAATTTAAATATTTTTTTTATTTTTCCAGTGAATTAAAATTTGTAGGAAAATCCTCAGGAAAAGTTACCTGCAAAATTTTTCTACCAATTTAGTAAACATTACTTGCGAATTTATTTTTGCAAAAAAAATCTACAAGAAACAAAATAAAGTTCTTACAATATTTTTTGCAAATTTTTACCATGGAAAAAAAATTTCTATAATTATTAAAATTGTAGCAAAATTTGTAAAAAATATCTGTAAATTATTTTTTGCAAATAAATTCGCAAAAAATTTCTGCGAATATTTTTTTGCATGAAAATTCGTAAGTAGTGGGTGGCTCTTAAACTTTCAATAATATTTTCATATCATCTCTTAATATAATAGAATGAGTAAATAGTATATGCCCCTCAAAAGATATTTTTCATATGCATATATAAAAAACTTTGACTTACGACATTAGAAGGTGAGAGCAAATGATAATGTTTGAGAGTTAGTTTACGGTCCAAGTAAATGAGTGGTTTGCAAGGTGATGAGGATATGATAAGATTAAGAAAAGAGAAAGATAAAATAAGGAAACTTGTACCGTGAAGGTGTCTCCAATGTTGACAACAAGGGCATCAAGACGAGGTGGTACCGTCTTCCATTTGTTGTCCGCAAAGACATGAAGGCCTCCAACATGATCTTGGTGAAGAATTGTGATAGAAGTTGGATCACAATGGGGTCCTGTCCCTAGCGTAAGCCTTGGTTCTTCACAAGATGGGTAATTGTTGCATCTCATGATGGACCACCCTTCTTCAAACAACTCCTTGTAATGCAACCTATCCACCCCTAAGCTTATTGCCAATAGCTCCGTCAGTTTCATCCCCAAACGCTTCATACTCCCACAGTACTTCTCCATGGTCACTCTGCCAATAATAATCACATTCTTCTCTATAGTTAGTGACACTCACCCCTTCTCTTTCAACTCCATCAAAGGCCAAGTCAAAATTTAATACATAAAATATCAACATTACTTAAAAAAAAAATGAAAAATGATGGGATCCATGCTTGTAAAAAGAAATTATTATATGTCACAACAGATAATGTAGAGTAGTTTTATACCGTGATTTAATCACATCAGATCATCACGTAATTTTACAGTGTCATTTAATGACATTAGATCGTGTTTTGTGAGGGTTAATTTAATTATAGGGTTTGAGCAGAATGACCTCTTACCCGGCTTGTTCAAAGTCTTGGCCTACGTTGGATTTAAAGTAGGTTGTTACAACGGGGTGAGAGGAGTTGTTATGGTAGGGGAAAGAGAGGGTTTCCTTCCATGGCAAGTTGGAGGAGAAGCGATGAGAATGTGCACCGGAGTAGCCCCACATGGAAGCGGGGGGCTTAAGGAGAGTCAATTTGCGGTGAATGGGGAGCTTAAAGAAAGAGTCCATATGATGATGTGCTTGACGAATGAGGGATGGATGAACAGCATGGTTGATGACTTGGAAGAAGCCATGGTTGATGCAAGCTTCTCTCACGAGCCTAGCCGCACGCTCTGTGGCCTCATCGTCCCCCCTCAGAAACCCATCAAGGTCCACCACTGGTGCTTCGAGCTCCTCTTCTGCCTCCACCAAGTACTCCTCTGGCCAAATGAAATTACTGCCCACGTGGCCCGAATCCATATCACCTACCTACCTACCAAACACACTACTGCATATTTCCCTACGCATATGCACCCTATTTATACGCATATTATATCATTTTTATTTCTATTTACTTTATTTTTTTTAGAATTTTTAATTAGTATTTATTGAGATACAAGTAAAATCTCACATCATTCAAACAAGAGAATCGATATAGAATTATATACACACAATTGTCTTTATTAGTAGAGAGGTCACCCAAAAACAAAATCGTGAGAGATGGATTCAAAGTTGACAATATCTTACTAATATAAAAACATACGTAACTCTCGATGTACAACAGTGTCCACTTTATGTGTAAGTTTCCACAGTTTTATTTTTTTTGTTGTCACTCAAAAAAATCTATCACAATTATTAGAATATATGTATATTTTATAAATTATTATTATTATTTTTTTTATTTTAATCGACGTGAAATTTGTTTGTAAATGAAATATATATGTATACATTTCGTGCGTTTCATGCTTTGGCTATTCATACTGAATGACACTCCTGTAAATAAAAAGTAGGAATGCGCAATGATATGTGTGACAGTTACTTAATAAAAATAATTAAGGGTGAAAGTATCCATTAAAATGGGATATTTTCATTATAATTTTTAAACATTATAGATAATTAGTATATATATTGATTCAAATTTAATGTAAATTAAATGTCTTAACTTTTTTTTTTTATAAAAAGTTGTATCATTTTATTTATTCAAAAATTATATAAAGAAAAAAAACAATGTTCTCGTTTAACTTTCTTTCTAAATTTCCACTTCCCGAGATACATTTATACGTACACGTCATTGTGTAATTGTGTAGGTATGATCAGTGAGTTTTATTTTTTATAAAATTGATATTTTATGTGATACTGTACATAATAATATGTATTTCTTTTCATATCATTTTATTTTTCATATACATACATGTCAAAATATGATTGAAAATGAAAAGAGGTACATTTTATTTTTTATGTTGAAAGGATATTTCCGGCCGGGCTCAGTTATCCACGTTTCGCGTTGAGAGAGTCGGGAGGTGGGGGGCAAAAGAGAAACCACTGTCGTAATGTATGTCACGTTTTCCACAGTTTTATTTATAGATTAATTTAAATTTTTAATTTCTTAAATTTATCATAATTTTATATTAAGTTTTTAAATTTAAAATTATTATTTTTAATTTTTAAAAATTTATTTTAATTTGTTAGATCATCAATAATATATTTAAAAGTAATTAACATATTAAAGTAGTTATCCATCGTCAATCGAGTTTAATATGATATTTTCACTAGTAGAAATATTGGTAGATAAATTTTGTGTGACAATATTTAATTGTTATTAATAAAATTTGAGTATAAAGACTAAATCAAAATTTTTTTAAAAATTATGAAGGTTAAAAAAATTAATTTTAAATTTCACAAAAATTTCTTAAATTTAAAAAAATTAAAAATATATTTAAACATTATTTATATAGCTCCTAATTAAGAAATCAATACATTGATTACACTAATAAAATCTGTGTTTCAGTTATATTAGTTACAGAAAGTAGTGTGATAAGGAAAAAAATCATTGTCACGATTTATCATTATTTATTATGTATTAAAATTATTACATTTCACAACTGTAAAAATAATTTTAAAATTAGCATGTAAAAATAATCTTAAAATTAGCATGTAAAAATAATCTTAAAAGTATCATATATTAAACATTTTATTATATTATAATTAATAAGAAAAAAGTATTTAATTCCCTTAAATTTCAGTCTCTTTACAAATAGATATTACAAATTTTAAAATTTATTCCATTTAATCGTTAAACTTTATCTTGTTAGCAAATAGATATCATAAACTTTAATTTTATTATAATTTATTCTTAAATTTTACCATTTTTACAAATTCTCTTTTTACCTTGATTTGCAATTTTATCTTTATTAATTTTTTTTTTTTATTGTGAGTCTCTTATATTACATTGAGATTAAATTACTAAGATAAAAATATCAATCATTTATTTATTTAAATCACACTTATTTATTAATTTTTTGGTACATATATATTAGTTTTATTTTATATATACTAAAATATCAAATAATTTATATGAAGAAAAAAAATCAAATAAAGACTTCTTTTTATTATTTTTATCATTCTTTTTTATTTTTTGTTAAACATGTATTTTTATTATATTTTAAAAACAAAATAATTGAACCATAAAAAGAAGAAAAAAATTGATGCATGATTGATATTTAAGATAAATAATTTAACTCTAAATTGATAATATAAAAAATTTGTAAAAATAATAAGTTATAAAATGTTAAAATAAATTATAATGAAATTAAAGTTGAGGATATTTATTTATAAAAGAAGTAAAGTTTAAGGATTAATAGAAATAAAATTAAAGTTCATAATATCTATTTACAAATCAGATAAAGATTAAGGATTAATTAGGATAAAATAAAAATTTTATAGTGCCTATTTATAAAAAAAGTAAAATTTAGGATGGTTGATTACTCTTTTTTCTAATTTATATTTATAAATTTAACATCCAATTTATCAAAATAAGTCTTAAAATAATTTTTTTGATTAAGAAAAAAGATTAAAGTATATTTTTATCCTTTATCTTATTTTTTAATATTTATTTTGATTATTCATCTATTGAAATGTTTATTTTTTCTTTTATCTTTTATTCTTTAATTGATTTGATCATTTTAAAACAATGATTATTATCAATTTTGCAACAAAATTTAAATATTTGTTAATAGATTCAAGACATAAAACTTATAATATTACATTCACCTATATAAAAACAATGATATTCAAATAACTTTTGAATCTAAAATAACTATAAATACAATGAAAATGCGTGAAAAATATATCCAACGAGTAATTAATAAATATTTTGAATTTTTTTAATTTTTTATTACTTTTTTGACTCATTTTTATGAGATTTTTACCATATTAATAATATTTTTGAATTGAAATTCAGTTACTTTTAACTATTTTTTTTATATAAGTGAGTTTAATTAATGAGTCAAATTTCATGAATCCATTAAAAAAATTCAAAATTGTGTTTTCAATTTGAAAATTATTGTTTCAAAAAGGATTATATCAATTCAAATTGAAAAGATAAAAAAATAAATTAAACATTTTAAAAGATAAAGGACTTAAATAAATCATTAAAATAAGATAACAAAGGAATACATAATTTAGCTTATCTTTTTATTTTTATTTTCATAAGTTAAGATAATAAATATATTTCCTTAAAAAAAAAAGACTAATAAGTATATTGAATTAAGTTAAAAAAAATCATGAGTCAAATAATTTTCATTAAACTCATAAATTTCTTATAAGTTGTTTCAAATATCCTTTAATTAATATATTATTAAACTTCGTAAAATATTGATTTTGAGAACAATAAACTTTATATATTAAATTAGAGGGATATCAATTAAGTGAATATAAATTTAACATAAGATTTTGAAAGTTTAAGTTAGGATAAATTAATTTTAAAATGATTATTAATATTTTAGATGTCATCAAATTTTGCAATCTCAACTTAGATGATAAATAATGCTCAATAAAAAATAATATATATTAAATAAATTCCAATATTGCAAAGTTCGTTTGAAAGATGAAATTATAGTCTCACAAAATTTAAACAAAGCAACTTTTGAAAGAATGTACTCTCAAGCAGTGTTTTAAAACCCGGACCGACCCGGCCGGTCGGACCGGTTGGACCGAGAACCGGTGGTCCAGCCGGTCCGAATCTGAAGTTGGATCAGTTATGCAGTCGACCCGTTTCAAATCGGATTGAACCGGTCAATTTTCTGGTTCAACCGGTGAACCAGTGGGTCAAACCGGTTCAACCACTTTTTTTTTTTATAAATTTTTTAAGGGACCATAAATCACAAAAATAATAATGAAAATTGAATCTCTTAATGAAAAAGCAAGGAGTCTTATTAAATATAACAATAACTACTTATTCTAATATATTTGTTTGCAATATATACAACTTAAATAACTTTTATAGTATATTATTAATTTTAAATTATATATTTAATAATTCAATATCTATGTAAATATTACATATATTATTTTGTGATATTAATTGCAAGCATATTATATATGTACATATTATTTATATTTTTAATTTGTATTAATATACCGTTTAACATGTAATTTTTTTATGTATTTTTTTATAAAATAAAAATAAAAATAATTTAAATAAGATAGAAAAATTTAAATTTAAAATAAGATATGAATTTATTAAAATTTATAAGTATAAATATATTTAATATGAATATTTTTTAATATAAATAAATAAAAATCGAGTCATGCGGTTCAACCAGTGACTCACTGGTTCAACCTTTAACCCACTGACCCAATACCTTAACCGATTCGATGACCAGTCCGATTTTTAAAACTATGCTCTCAAGAGCTTAAAATGATTAATGACTTTGACATTACCGAAGAATATAAAAGAAAAAGCATTGCTTAGCAAGCAAAATATTAATTAGATGCAAATTTGTAAATTTTTGTAATAAAACGGTTTGCAACGGACTTAGTGACCAACAAATAATAGCATCTAAAATTCCAATTGCAAATCGGTTTTGCGACCAAATCTGTCAATCAGTCGCTAAGATTGATTCAACCATTTTTCTTTAACTATTATAAAAGTGTCATTTTCTTACGAATTTTCTTGCAAAAAAATATTTATAAAATTTTTTTGCAAATTTTCCTGCAAAAAAAATATTCATAAAAATTTTTTGCAAATTTTTCTGCAAAAAAATATTTACAAATTTTTTTTGCGAAAAATAATTTACAGATATTTCTTATAAATTTTACTGCAATTTTAATAATGATAGAAAAAAAATTTCATGATAAAAATTTGCAAAAAATATTGTAAGAATTTTATTTTGTTTCTTGCAAAAATAAATTCGCAAGTAATGTTTACTAAATGGTAGAAAAATTTTGCAAGTAACTTTTTCTGCAAATTTTTCTGCAAATTTTAATCCACAGGAAAAAT